TAGGAGAAGCCAGAAGGAGGGTGAGAGAGACTGAATGGGTAAACCATATAGATACCCTCTTCTAGAAGAAGGAAAAAAAGAAGCCAACAATTACTAAGCGAAGTTGGGTGGAACTGAGCTACTCTTGGCAATCCAGGGGGCAAACGCTTGTCACAGGCCTGGCTTATCTCCCCACTCTTTTCTCTATCCAAACACCTGTTCCTAGATAAGTCCTGCTTTCAGAATTGTAGGGGAATCATTAACAGAAAGGAAGATGTCTAAAGAACTTTCTGAGCTCTCTAACCAAATGTGAATAGATCTCATTTCAGTCTTCGAGTGCCCCCTCAAACTGCCACTTTTCCTAGATGCATTAGGAATATTCTAAGGAAGTAACATGGCAATATGTTTTCTTTTTAGTTTACAAATGATGGCTATGCCCCAAACTTCATGACACGTTTTTTTGTTATCCTATGTCCTTTATTTTACAGAAGTGTAAAACCTTAGAAAAATTTCAAAAGGATATATGATTTCTGTAAATAGTAAGGTAAGGAGAGGTTTTGATACTGAGTTTGATTTCCAAGTAGACTAAGGAAGGAGAAAATTATAGTTGGGTGAGGACATGGCAGGGAGAGGAATTTGAGGAAGCGAGAAAACCTCCTTTAGAAACAGCAGAATCTGAGCAATTTGAAGGTAGATCGCTACACCATTAAAGTAGAATAGATGTTTAACACAAATTGAGTGAATAACTATACATATGTTTTCATAGGGATTCTATAATAACATTACTATCCAATAGGTTAAATAGGCTTTTCATTTTTAAAATATTTCTAAAAAATGATTTTTTTTTTTTTTTAAAGACAGGGTCTCACTCTGTTATACAGGCTGGAGTGCAATGATGTGATCCTAGCTCACTGCAGCTTCAAACTCCTGAGCTCAAGTGATCCTCCTGCCTCAGGCTCCCTAGCAGCTGGGACTATAAGTGCATGCCACAACGTCCAGCTGATATTTTTATTTTTTATAGAGACAGAGTCTCACTTTGTTGCCAAGGGCTTGGGGATGGAGGCAGGAAACCAGCATTGGTCTTGAACTCCTGGCTTCAAGCCACCCACCCACCAAAGCACTGTGTGAGCTACCACACCCATCCTAAAAGAAGAGTTTTTTAAATCATATGAAATCACTGTAGACAAGCATTTATTAAACCTCAAAGCCATCTATAGCTCACCAAATTGATTCTAGAAGATTTTGATCATAAGAAAAATCACATTAAAGTAATACATGAACACTGTCCAGCAGAATGGTCAAATTAATGTGACCACATTAAAAATGGTACAAATGTGAAAGTTGCTAGCAGTTTGAGCTCTAATATAGCATCTGTGCAGAGTCCACAAAGCAGGAGTCGGTGCTGTCCGCCCCTGTGGGCGTCATCGGCCACCTTCACCAGTTTTTCATTGCCTCTTCTAACAGAGGAAGGAGCAGCTTCGGCTTTCTGCCTTTCTCAGCACTCCCTGGTGGAACAGCCCCCTGACCCTGGCTTTGAAGCAGGCATGAAGGTGGCCAGGAAGTATTCTTCCACCCTTTAGCTTCACTTCTGTATTTCTTATCCAGTGAAGGTGCCGGAGAAGCAATTGTATCTCAGCTAGCCCAAGAGGCTCTCCCATCAGAGTTGGCAGAAGCCACGGCAGGAACCAATGCAGGTTTCCTACCTCCATCCCCAAGCCCTTGGCCCACTTCAAAGAGATGCCTAGAAGGCAAATAGATTTGTTGCTATGAATTTAGTTAGCTGACTTATCACTGTGTTGCATAATTCTTTCCCTAGGGTAGAGCTAACACCATCTCACCAGCAGCTCCCCAAAGCTCCCTGCTACTTACAATGATCAATACAAGAACCATCTGGGGTTATAAAAATACCAATATTGATCTGACTTACATCAACCTGAGGTCACTTAGCTAAGATTACCTATAAGAATGACAATTTCATCTAAATTTTTAGGGATACAGACAGAATTCACAGTCATTTCATAGGATCCTACAATGAAACATCAGCTGATAATACATTTTAGTTTCTATTCATCTGTAAATTATTGTAAACCAGCTTTAAAAGTTTGCCAATTCTCATTTCATTAGGAAAAAAAAATCTTCACCCATTTTACAAGACTCAACTTTACCAAAAAGTTTAGGCTGATTTTAAAAGCTAGAAAAACTATTCTAATACTACTCAATGTTCAAAAATGTTAGTTATACATCTTTATAATTGGTTTTAGATTATTGTAAACCTTTATGATTACCTAAATACATGCTTCGTATTCTAATTAGAAGTGTCCATGTATGTAGGTGCTAATTCCAAATACTTATTCAACTTGCCTAGGAAGGTCTACAGATTACCTCTCTAAGAAAAGTTGCCTGAGCCAAAGCTAATAAAAGAAATAATTCTACAACACCAAAACGCCACTAAAAATCTTCAACGGAAACTATAAAATAGAAGAAACACAGACAGCTCCAGCTTTCCAAGGAAAATAAGACAAAACTACTGTAGAGAAAAAATGTAGTAACAGTAACAGCAGCAGCAGCAACTGTGAAAACCATTTATCATAATAGGCATTGTGCTAGAAGCTTTATATAATCACATCTAATTCCTATAGACACCTAGCAAGGCAGGCAATTAGCATCCACATTTAACACTGAAAACACAGAGGCAGAAATTAGAAGTGGTCAGAAAGGGTCTGAATCTAACCTGGTTTGACTCCAAAATTTGCTTGGTTTTCATTCATCATGCTCATTCCTGAGAAAGGGATTAGACAAACTCACTTGCTGGGCTATCTGGAGAAGACTGAGATGGGGTTCAGGAGCCTGAGTGCAGGTGCATTTTTTTTTTCCTTTCACTTGTTTTTTTTCTGATGAGAGAAAGCAACAAGAGGGGTTGTGCCCACAATGACCTGTTCTGACCCTAGGAGAACTTCCCTCACTGCTTTGTAAAAGTTCAGCCATGCATGGGCAAGCATGCACACAGTCACGACGAGTTTTACTATTTCATAATATTTCATAATATTGATGAAGACACAATAAAGTCACAGTTAGTCATAAAGAAAAACTGACAGGTCTCCAAGACTACAGAATTTCTAGAAGCAAGACCTTTGGGAAAATGATACAAAATCCACTTGCTACGAAAACTGTATTTTTCTTCTTTTTTCTTTCTCGCCTCCCTTCTCCCCAACTCCCAGCTTAATTAAAAGGTATAAAGTGAAGAGAGAACAATAAACAATTATCATGGTAATTTAATAGTAGATAAAAGATAAATGTGGCTTTCTCTGCCAAAATTCAGGCTACAGAATATAGGTGTTCAGAAAGTACAATGTACAACTGTTTTAAATCTTACTGATTTGTGTTTCATCGAAGTGAGATCTTAATTTTATGTTCAACTGCACTACTGATAGGTTACTACCTGCTATGGTTTGAATGTATGTATCTGCCAAAATTAGCATGATGGAACCTATGACCCAATTCCATAGTGCTAAGAGGTGGGGCCCTCAGGTGATTAAGTCATAAGGCTCGAATTAGTACCCTTATAAAAGGGCACGAGGGTGCTAGCTAGGCTCCTTTTTTGCCCATCTTTTCTGCACATGAGGACACATTATGGGCCCCTCTTGTCCTTTTTGTGCCTTTTACTATGTGAGGACGCAATAAGAAGGCTCTCACCAGACACTGCAGGCCAGCATCTTGATCGGGCTCAAGAAAATAAAGTTATTTTATATTATCTAGTCTCAAGTTTTTGTTATTAGCAGCATAAACGTTCTAAGACAACACCTGAAAAATGTGTGCATAATGTATAAAATCTCTAGGATGCACTTAGGTGAACAAGGCCACACTGCTCCTATATTCTAGGAATTACAGTCACATGAGCCAGCCACCCTTACCCCTTTTTTTATCTTACAAACCAAAATGCAGTCACTTTCTGACCCTCTACATTTTGCTTCCCACTTAATAATTTTATTCACTGGGCTGTCATAAAGAGTTTGAGCTCTTCTAGTTCAGAATTAAGCCAGTATTATGTTAACAATTAAGCAAACCTAAGCAGCTTTTTTTTTCCTTTAAGAGTAAAGGCCTGGAAGAAAGGAAACCGTGGTGAGACAGCAATAAAAATGCAGTGAAAAGAGAGCAAGAAGCAGAAGTACAGACTGATACAGGGAGTGGCTGGCTCAGTGGCTCGCTTCATGCCTGGTCTCGCTCCTTCTTTGAAGGGTAGACTTGGGCTGATGGCTAGTTTAATTGTGCTGGGTTCCATTTGAACTCAATTTACTACAATGAGCTGCTGGCCAAGCTGGGCAAGTTAGTTCGGTTGGCTAGAGCAGGAGCTTGAAGGTCAAAGCACCAGCCCTGTCTGAGTTCACCCACAACAGAATTCTGTAGCATGATCACAGACAAGTACAATGACAAATGGGTGGGAGGTGTGTGCCGGGTGACTATGAATATGACTCAGCACAATATTTAAGGAGCAGTCACTGTTCCAGGCATTAATAATACAAAGATAATCGTACTGAGGTTAAAGTCTTCAGAAGCAGATAGACATAGAAATACATAATTAAAATGTAATCTAGTAAGTACCATGATAGAGATCTCCATAGGGGCACAGAGACAGGTAAGGGAGGTTTCCTGGAATAAGGGACATCTGGGCTGACCCTAAACAGTGAATAGGCATGTGAGTGGGAGGCACCCCTTGCCAAGGAGAGGGCATCATAAACAAAAGCAGAACTTATGCCATCAGTCATAGGGAAAAAGAAGAGGATACATATCAGCTTTTTATCAACTCAACTACAAAACCTATTAACTTCTTTGTAAATGAAAAATTGCATCTTTACTCACTTAAAAATGCTTTTTGTTAAAATAAGAATTTTTTCTCATTTGTTGCAAGGGGGAAACTATACATTTTGTATATTACATGTTTACTGCTTTGTAGTTTTAGAAGATGAAAACAAAACTTTAATAATAATTAAGATCTAAGAATTATGACAATGAGCAAAGAAGTCCAAGGACACAACACTCTCAAATGCCAAACAGCATAGTATTAGTATAAAATTATTTTTAAAGTCTTCACACACAAAAAAAAACCCTCCCCTAACTTCCTCTCTCCCCAGTCTCTTGGTAATCTCTATCCTACTCCCTACTTAGGAGTTCAGCTTTTTTACTCCACTTAACAGTGAGATCATGCGGCACCTCTCTGTGCCTGGCATATTTCACTTAATATAATGTCCTCCAGGTTCATCCATGTTGTCCCAAATGACAGTATTTTTTCTTTTTTTGGAGACAGAGTCTTGCTCCGTCATCAGGCTGGAGTGCAGTGGCACGACTTCGGCTCACTGCAATCTCTGCATCCTATGTTCAAGCAATTCTCCTGCCTTAGCCTCCCGAGAGCTGGGACTACAGGCACACACCACCACACCAGCTAATTTTTGTATTTTTAGTTGAGACGGGGTTTCACCATGCTGGCTAGGATGGTCTTGATCTCTTGACCTCGTGATCTACCTGCCTTGGCCTCCCAAAGTGCTGGGATTACAGGCATGAGCCACCGCGCCCAGCAGAATTTTCTTATTTTTTAAAGCTGAATACTAATCCATTGGGTGTGTGTGTGTGTGCGCGTGTGTGTATGTGTGTGTGTGTGTGTGTATATACACATGACATTTTCTTTATTCATTCATCCGTTGATGAACACAGGTTGATTCTATATCTTGGCTGTTGCGAATAGTGCTGTAATAAACATGGGATTTTACAGAGATCTCTTCAACACATGCTAATTTCATTTCTGGCAGACCTATACCCACCAGCATAACATAAGCTTAAAGACTTATTTTAAAGATAATTTTGTTTTTGTATTAAGAGGCAGTATATTTTAATATTTTATCATTTTCTCCTAATATATACCATCAAAACCACTTATATGCAACCCCATTTACCTATGGTGCTGTGTTTATATTGCAAAAAAGAAGTTCAGGAAATAGTAACATAGAGCACAAAATGTTCATGAAATCAAATAATTAGAGCTACAGTTCACTACTTTGCTCATAAAATTAATGTTGTTTCAGTAACTGTTTCCTTAGTATGTCTAATGATTTTATCTTTTTATTCATTTTGCCATTGAATTTTGCTATTCTTCCTTCCCCCGTTTTGATCATGCATACCTTTGCAAATGTAGGAACTCTGCTATTAGCCCCTTAAGCTGAAGATCAGGGCATGAAACTTCAGAGTTTCGCGGCCCCTAGAGATGGTCAAGAATCCCTCTCCCCCCGCACCCGATGACAGAAGATGCTTTGAGTAGTTACAAATTCCAAACTACAGGTCGGGGTGTGGTGGCTCCAACCTGTAATCCCAGGACTTTGGAATGCTAAGGTGGGAGGATTTCTTGAACCCAGGAGTTTTACATCAGACTGGATAACATAGGGAGACCCTTTCTCTACAAAAAATAAAATAAAATTAGCTAGGCACGGTGGTGCAAGCCTGCTGTCTCAGTTACTTGGGAGGCTGAGGTGGGAAGATTGCTTGACGCTGGTAGAGGTAGAGGCTGCAAGTGAGCTGTGATCATGCCACTGCACGCCAGCCTGAGTGACAGAACAAGACCCTGTCTCAAAACAAGAACAACAACAAACTAATTTCAAACTACAAAGTAAATCTTCCCAATTTCCTGCCATGAATTTTTGGATCAAACATAAAACTTTTAAAAAGTGATACTGACGGCTGGGCATGGTGGCTCACGCCTGTAATCCCAGCACTTTGGGAGGATGAAGCAGGTGGATGACTTGAGGTCAGAAGTTTGAGACCAGCCTGGCCAACACGGTGAAAGCCCATCACTACTAAAAATACAAAAAATTAGCCTAACATGGTGGTGCATGCCTGTAATCCTAGCCACTGTAGAGGCTGAGACAGGAGAATCACTTGAACTTGGGAGGCAGAGGTTGCAGTGAGCTGAGATCGCCCCACTGCACTCCCGCCTGGGTGACAGAGTAAAACTGTCTAAAAAAAAAAAGTGATACTTAAAATAGTTCTTATAAAACAAAGTTTCAAAGCTCTTCTGTTTAAAATAGTGGTCCTTATTTGAGGGTTTGTATGAAAATCACCTGTGGGCTTTTAACACCATGCAATCCAAGTCTCACCCAGACCAGCTGAGCTGCAATCTTGAGGCACTACTCTCAGCTGTGTATTTCTAAATGGCTCCCTAAAGGATTCTGATGTACATCCCAAGTTTAGAAGCACTGACTCACAGAATTTCAACTAGAATCATCTCCCACATGCTAAAGTGATTTTTCACATTCTTCACTGGTTGGCAAAACACCAAGGTTCTGGGTTTCCTGAACCAATGGTTTAAGAGATGCTGATGGGCTTCAGCCTCCCCCCTAGACCAGCTGCCTTCAAACTGGGATATGTGTGCTCCTAAGGGTACCGAAAGGCTTTCCATGAAAAGGATTTTAAAAGTTTTTGTGCTTTGGACTCCTCTGGCACCTGGTAAAGTCAGGCTGAATCCCTTCTCAGGATAACACTTTTAAATGCATAAATCAAAACAGCATTAACAAGAAAATATAACCATATTCAGGATAACTATAGTTTAAATATGGTTATGCTTAAATATGGTTAAAACAATCCATATTTTAATACATTAAAATATGTATACTGTAGAAATATATGTGTTCTTTTATTAACCCAGTAAATAATAAAATCTAGGGGCATGTCTAATAACTGTCATGATTTCAAAGTAGTGATCAGTTCAAACCACCTCTTGAGGTATCTGAAACAACTCTGATAAGAAAACATCTGACTTCCGTTGATGCTCACACTACTTTAGGTTTGTTGCTTACATTTGTAATTAAAGGAAAAGCTCAATTTCTAGGTGAGGTTAGTGGAAAAAAAAGATGAAATTATTTTCCTCATCCAAATTCACAAACACTTGGAGTTAAAAACCTTACTTTAATATGTGTACGTGGGGGGTTAAAAAGCAATCAGTTTCCAGATTCTTTCCTAAAACCTTTTATACCTTGTTTCTCACATACATTCCCCTTCTACTTTTTTCTTTTTTTTTTTTTGAGATGGAGTCTTGCTCTGTCACCCTGGCAGTGCAGTGGTGCAATGCTGGCTCACTGCAACCTCCACCTCCTGGGTTCAAGCGATTTTCTGCCTCAGCCTCCCTAGTAGTTGGGACTACAAGCGCATGCCACCAGACCCAGCTAATTTTTGTATTTTTAGTAGAGGGGGATTTCACCATGTTGGCAAGGCTGATTTTGAACTCCTGATCTCAAGTGATGTGCCTGCCTTGGCCTCCCAAAGCGCTTAGATTACAGGCATGAGCCACTGAGCCCAGCCCCCTTCTACTTTCATAAGGCACACCTGTTACGCATCCTGAATATTACGTGGTTTATTGTTCGGGGTGCTAAAACCTCTGAAATGTCACTGAAGAAACGAGAAAATGCCCTGCTCCTGTAGAAGTGCCCTTAAGAGCAAAACAAGAAATACTGTGAGAGCAGGGCCTTGCTTCATGCAGGTGAAAAGTCTTCTGTCTCCTTTGTATTAATGCATCATTGTCAAAAGGCACAAATTAATACTGATAGTCTGCGACTTACGATGGTTTGATTTACAGTATTATTCGACTTTATTCCATGTTATATCATGTCAAAATTTCCTCACTTTTTAAGTCCATTGTATGTTTTACAAATTTATTTTCTAAGGTATGTGAAAACAAAAATGTTTGAAGCCTGACCAACATTTCTCAAAGCCTATGAGAAATCAGCTTCGGAGCCATGGAGGTTCATGAGCCTCCTTCATCAGAAACACCGTGGGTATTTATTTAAAACGCAGATTCCTATGCCCCAACTCAGATGTACGAAATCTGAATCTCTACGATTGGGTCTGGGAATTGGCACTTTGAAACAAGAATCATACTTGAATCTGATGTATACCAAAGTTGAGAACCACTGCACTATGCTACTGTACTGCTTTGCTTAAATCTTCCAGACACTATTGTTTCAGCCATTTTCCGGACCCATATTTATCCTTTCAATCTATAGATAGGCGTTTGTTACAAGCTAAATGATACGAACTCAACACAAGACATTGATGCTTATTCAGAATTTGATGGGAAGTGACCAGAGACAATGCCAGTAGAAACCATCTCTTGGTGCATCACTTAGCAATTTTCAGTGGTATAGAATAGTGATGTTTTCCTTAACCTGTTCCTTATAATTTGTTATCAATTTTGGATAAGCTGTAAACAAGCCCATAATAGAATAGGGAGGCAAATATTCCTTTTTAAAAAAACATGGCTCTACCATGTGAACTAATAATTAAACAATGGCTCTGCTATCAAATTATCGTCAGAAAGAAGCGTTAGAGCTCCAAGCATTTGGTGTTCCATGGATGCTTTAAGCTTTTAAAAAATTGTCTAGGCTAAAATTACATTAATCATGCTACTTGAAGCTTCAGTTTTGGGCCTTCCATGCATAAAACTTCAACAAATGTCTCAGTTTAAAATTATTCTTGAAGAGGTCTGACCCTGCTACTCTCTACTTTGTAGAGGTAAGATGTGCCGACTAACTGCTCAAGCCTACACCTTTGTTACATCTCTCCATTTTCATATAATGCAACAAGTTCAACTGTTGGTTAGAGCATGTGATTCCACTAGTAACTGACAATGAAGGAGTTAAAGACCATCCATCCCACACTGTGCCAATTTGGCATATTTATTATTTCAAGCTGAAACTACTTGAGAAACTAATTGCAGAAAGGCCTTTCTGATCTGTCCTTTCTTAAGGTGGCAAGCCATAAAAATTCCTTTGAGGATGCCTTCCCTCCACTAGAGACAGAAAATAACTTTTATCGCCAGAGGTTGGAAGCTGCTGCTGCAATGAACCTGTACAAATAAACTTACTGAAGAAACCTTATCTTAAACTAGCTTTACACCCCCGAACAACAGATCTCCTAGTGACCTCTAGAATTTACTGCCCCAGCCCAGATCCCTTTGTCCCGTCATTTCTTCACAAATTTATTATTCCTTGTCCAAA